ATTTAGCAAAATATTCGTTGTTTTAATGAAAAGCAAATTTTATTTGCATTGCTCATCTATTGACAATAACATGTAAACAAAGTATTCTTGAAAACGCTTAACTTCTTGAACAATCGTGCGTGCAAAGCTTATGCACATTCGGTAAACATGGAAAATAATATTTTACTTTACTTCCAAAAGTTTTTTCGCAGAAGTCTATGAGCAAATGTTTTTGATTTCCTTAAAATTTTTACCCTGTGACTATGACTCATTCTCGAGGATTCAAAGTTTTACACCGAACTTGGATGAAAGGCCTCAGGTTCCCGCTGCTTTTGACCATTCTCAAACTAGCTTTCAAGACATCGTGGGGCGCCAAGTGCCTCGCCTGTGGCCACGTCTGTTAACAATAAAACTGATCTTTCTGGTTACCGACCGCATTATTTCCTTTTCACGGGATACAATAATGTTTACGTCCATTCCCAAAATGCCAATATAAAACAGCAATTGGATCGTTTCAAGATATTCGATGATTAAGAACTTTAGGTTTTCGTTATAACACTGTGAAGTTCATCAATTCCAGATTTCTACAACTTTTCAATTAAATCTAAAAGTGCATTTTATTTCCCTTTATAACTATATCCTTTCAGTACTTACTCTTATTATTATTATCATCATCAAAGAACCGTTTTTTGTATACTGTTTATAAGGAACAGAAAATGTTTTACTTTTCACTTAGCACTGTTATCTCTGATGAAACAAAAAACTTGGTATGTACAAAATTTATTCACTTGTAGAGCAATAATCACATTTAGCCTACAAATAAAAGATTTAAAGAACTACCCAGATTTTTCAATTCAGAATTTAATATCTAGTACCAAGTACTTTAGAACTCTGAATATTTGGAGTTATAAAATACTTGTTTCGTATCCGTAATTAGTTCAACAAAGTAAATAAATATTTTCTACATGCGCTAATCCAAACGTTTAATTATGAAACAGAATATGCTCTTATTCAAGAATAATTTTATTTTAAATATGTGCATACTGCTCTACTTAGCGATGAAAATTTCAAATGAAGCGAGTTTCAAATGAAGCAACACAAAGCGAGTTATGTGTTTCTTCTTCAACAAAAGAAAAATAGCTTTCTGGCAACATGGTGGTTAAAAAGAAGATTTTTCTCTAATAAACTGGCTAAAATAACGCTGATTATTGTTTAGAAACCAAACCTATATGTTCAAATATTTGATTACTATTATATAAATGTTCACATAGAATTAATTAAAATTTACCATAAAATATTTTAAGAATATTTATTGTTAAAATATCCACATAAAATTATCGCCCCCCCCCCCAAAAAAAAAAAAGAAAGAAAGAAAAGAGAAGAAAAACTTAACTTAAATGGTGCAGTGTAATAAAATCTATAAAGACTTTATATTTTTAATAAACGTGCACATATAAAATTTCAAATACACTCAAAAAATCCTTTTGCGACTACAGTATTTTAAATTGTTGCATACAATACGTCTGCATGCATATAACACAGCATTCGAAACCTGTTAAACATTTGTATATCTTCTTTTGTAATAAAAAATTATGAGATTTTCATAAAAATTGCAATCTGATCCTGCAATATCCAACTTAATAGCTAATATGAGTTTAAACTGAAGGCATTCTGTACCATTTAAATTATACATGGCCATAAAAATTTTAACTTAAATGACATACGGTGCATTTAAATGATGTGTATAAGCATAAAAACTTTTTATTAACAGGGAAATTTATTATTTTCATAGTTTATATGAAGCTAATGATCGTTATAACGTCATTTCGCATCCTTAGAAAATGTCTTTGAGTATCAACGGTATATGAAATGTAAACCAAATAATTCAATTGAAAATAAAATTCAAAATAAAAATTGCACAATGTTATGGAAATAATGTTTAAAAAATATTATTCGTTTGTTCTATATTGCACGCTAGACGTAATTAACGTCAAAAAAAGTTGAATGTGATTTTAAGAGTGATGATGTGTGCGTTCTACTTTTGTTAGCATTATTTCGATATTTTGAAACTGTAACGTATCATGGAAAAATGTTCGCTGAATTACAATTTTATTTATTACCTGATCTTTGGATACCTTGCAGATTGCCGTGTAGAGTCATATATGATGATGGAAAACATGGAAGGTAAAACATAGTCGGACACATGCATGAATTTTTCAGGAAAACACAGAAACTCGTTATATCTTGTTATGCTCATAGCAGGAATGAATTGCACTATTTATTTATTCGTAAAAGGCAGGGATTTTTAATTTTATTTTCTGCATCTATGTAGCGCGAAAAATTCTGATAGTCATGTACAATTCACGCTGAAAACAATCTGCGAAACTAGTTGAGAAATGAGAACTGAAAGCTGTAGTCTCAAATTCCGGGCATTCGTAACTTAATACATTCTTAGGAATGGCCAGTCTTCATCAGTTATTTAGCCATTCCATCACCGAGAACTTTGCTGTGAGTGCGACCGATCTTCTGCCGTGAGAAAGGGAAAAGTTTCGTCGCAGTTTTGATGGAGAACACTCCGAGGGACTCTCACCTCTCTTTCCTAGCCAGCAAAACACTCGAGAAAGACTTCCGACTCGTCAGTCTTATAAATGCTTCTTTAGAACTGGTAAGTAAGAACTTAAAAATATAATATATATTTTAAAATATTTTAAGGAAAATTTTAAAAGAAATTCCATATGTTTCTGTGAGACATCTAGTTAAATAAATTGCAGTGTTTAGATTTTATTTATCTCTTACGATCTGGTCTAATACTTATTTTCATTGCAATAAAGTTAATAAAATAATTCAGCAGAAAGGTTTGCAATTAGAAATCGCAATTTACAGGAAGAAAGTGCCGCATTTGAAGAGTTCTTTTACTATGCTTCTATTCTATTTGGCTATGGAAAACAACGTAATTTTGAAAATTGTTGATGCACAAAATATATTTCATAAGTAACTTCAATTTTTAATTTCAGAATAATAGGGTGAAGGGTAATAAATTAGGTGATAATCTAAACATACTATAGAAATTGCAATTTAAAAGAGAAACCCCGTTAAGGGGCCCTATGATCCAGCTTGCGAGGACTACCAAAATTACTTAAACCGACCCTAACGATACGATATGTTTTACCTAATTGTGGAGAACAGTTTTTCCTGCTATTCTGTTTACATTATAAGATTTTTTCGCCCTTCTTTCCGCATACCATCGTAGTGTAACTGCAAGCACGCTAATACGTATTCGGAGGATTCGGAATTCGAATCCTGGTGAGAGTACTGCGGATTTCTTGTTTCGTGAGTTCTAAAAAGCTTTACAAGGGGCGCCCGAAATAAAAGATGGTAGACAACAATTCGTCACTACCAGGATTTTTCGACTGAGCCACCTCATACCTAGTCACCCTTAAAAGAGAAAGTATATAAGACTTCTTTTCCTCACGTGTTTCATGTTTCCTGGATCGATTTAACCTAATGATGCTACGATACCGTAACTGATCCTGCTATTCTGTTACTTATATAATCGACTCAAAAATAGTAACCAATGACACAAATAACAGGATCATGTTCCGAAAATGTAAAGCAGGCGTTATTCACGGTGGTGTCAGTAACGTTTTACAAGAACGTTCTGAATTATGCCTATCTGTTACACCTTTTATCCGTATAATCGCACGTCAATTACCGGTATTAACAGTTTCCATTACATGTAAAGACAGTATAAAAGTGTCTCATAGACGGTATAGTGGTTAGGGAAGCCTACTACGATACCGAAGGTCCCGGGTTCGAATCTCGGAGAAGACATGAACGTTTGTAAATGTATAGTGTCGGTGCGGCATGGCGGCACTCTAAATATGCGGCGACCCGAAAGTCATTTCGTGGGGATTGGTGGAAGGGGAGAGGAGTGGGATATCCCCGGGATGCTCTCTCTCAAAATTTGGGGTGGAAAATAGAAGTCCAACCTCTCTTCGGAATAAGCTCTGGCAACCATTGTTCCATGTAATATGGACACGACAACAACAACAAAGTATAAAAGTTTACGTAGTAGAGCACATTAAAACGTGTCACATGGACAGTGTATGTTCATGAAGGGTATCTTTTTTTATATGTTTAAGTATGATATTCATAAATGTCTCTTAAGAATAGTTTAATATATATAAATCAAATACGTATGTGCATTTATGGATTCTTTGAAATACTAATGTTACTTTAAATATCATTATGATGTAATAAATAAAGATGTATGCTTTTTAATATTTCACAATGCATTTAAAAAGAAAGCTAAGAAAAAGGATGCTTTCTCGTGAAGCATTCAGATGCAGAATTCAAAAACACACACGAACATGCCCAATAAATAAATAAATTAAATTAAACTCGGAAAAGGACACTCTAATATTTCTGTGTTAATGGATTTAAATTTCCTACTACCTTCCAATCATGAAGATCAGCTTAATTTCCAGATATATTGGACAAATTTCAAAATATTCGAATATACTTTTTAACCAACTTTTGTTTACTATCAGATATAAAATATTTCATCATATAGTCGTGCTATGGTACGTTGATTTTTCTATGATAATTTTTCTAAAATTATAAAAACATTTGTTGATGTCGACGAGAATACGAAAATATGTTGGTTTTCTGCCATAATTATCTGATTAAATTTTGAAATTAAAGTAACTTTTGCAATGTGTGGAACTTACATCACTTGCAAGGAAAGCTGCTAGTTAAATTCTCGACTTAATGAAAAATTTTAAAATTAACACCCTCCGTTTTTGATTAACTATTAAACTATTACCGTATAAAAACACTATAAAAGCCAAAACGTCTCTGCAGTGAATGTGTTGTAAATTGTAAAGTGCCTAGTAAAACATTTTTAATTTTTTAATTTTTGGTCGATGGATTAATCAAAACAAAATGTTTTTTGTACGTTTACTTTTTTATCATCTCACTTGACTTATGGATCTGCACACAGTAGACTTTAGGCTGGAGCTCTTTCCGCTTCTCCATATGTTGTCCCACAGCACTATTTCTCTCAAGGACGAAATCACTTTTTTTCCCTCAAAGTACTCTCCCTCAAAGTATGCCCTGCGGTCCAAAAAACGTATGTAACCAATCAAATCCTGAAATTACTGACGTCCGGCTGACTCTGACCTCAGTCATTCTTAAAGAAGAACGATTCGAAAGACCGGGGTTTGAGGTCATCAAGAACACCGCTAAAATTATTCCAGATCGAAGGGAAGTATTGATGTCTTTGTTTTATCCGCTCTACTAAAAGTGTAAGTATGCATATTTTCACATTTTTAATCGTATTTTTAATAATGAAAGTTTGCTAAAATTGTTTTGTATATGTCTAAAATCTTCCAAATGCTATAATCATGTTGATCTCAAACTTATCATAGCTGCCAACTCAAGTTTTCAACTCAGTCCCAGTTTTTCATCACATCTCAAGGTAAATTACCGAATCTCGAGATTTTAAAGTCTCGAAATTTAAATCTTTACTAAAGAAAATTTTTCCCAGCAAAAAAAAAAAAAAAAAAAAAAAAAAAAAAAAAACGAAATTTATCAAAATAATGAAATTTTTAATTAGGCGAATTGTATTCGTCCACCTGTAATGATTTTCATAATAATTTTTCTTGTTAAACTTTATTTCACAAAACTGTATTTTTTATTAATTTTATTGACCTTAATAAATTTTTCTTATCGGATTTCGTTTAATCTGAGTTGTTTTAATCTGCTGTAGACATCAGTAGATTTTTATGTGAAGATTTAGGCAATGTTTAATTAGTTAATTTTCGTGTTTAATTTTGTTTACTTTAGTACCTGGCATATTACTAATTTTATCTAGTGTTATTATGTATGTTAATTATTAATTTCACATGCATCGTATATTTAAAAATACTTTGATAAATAAAAGCTTTGCTTCACTACTGAAGATTTCCTCAGCATAAAAAAAGCGAAGAAATAAAAAAAATGAAATTAGTAAAGAGCATAAATTTTAGACTATCTAATAAAATGCTAATGCATCTTACATCAAAATTGAATTACAAGTACTATAGTAACCTGAACCATCATGCATCATAAACTGAATCAAAGCGAGTTTGGAATTTCTTTGAAATGGTATAACCTCGCAGAGTGAAAAACCTTTCATTTTTCTAGAGCAAACCCGTCTTTAAAGAAAATCTCCCGTCTTTTAAGATTTTCCAAGGCTGGAAACTATGATCTGCATGCATATACGATTGTGTTTATGGCTTTAGAAATACAATTTTTATACTATTCAAATGTAGTACTGGTATTTTATGCACGTACTGTTTTCATTAAATTGTAAAGAAAAATTAAAACACTAAGAGAATTAGATATCTTATATTTACACAAGCAATGAAATAGACATTTTTTATTATTTAGAGTTAAAAAACTGAAATTTTGGCTAGTTTTTTTAACTTTTTGATAACTATTTTAGAGCAGTTTAAGTTCTCCAGCTAAAGCGGCAATAAATAAATAAACAAATAAATAAGTAAAAATTTTAACTTTCAATAAATCACTGGAACTGCACTGGAGCGATGTAAATGAAATATCTTCATCTCACATTGGTCTAAGACATTACGTACCAAGCGAATTTAGTCGTAAACCTAGAATGCTTTAAGAAATACAGAGTTGGAAGGCAACAAAGTTTCATTTATTTCTTTTATACACTAGGCCTGTTGTTATGAATTCAATTTTACCATCTGCTATGTACAACAACTTTCTTTTACTACATGTGGAAATTTTTATTTTAATAAAGCCTTCAGATATTGCTTTCTCTAATGATGCATTTGCAGAAAATGATTTAAGAGCTTTTGTTAAACACAGTATTCGATTACATGGGAAAATATTTATTTAATAATTTATTTAATAATGTATAATGTTCTATCTTTGATTCATTTAATAAATGATGTTCAAATATTTGGGCCTCTTGACACTTTTTGTTGAAAACATTTGAACTTTTTGGGGGAACTGAAAAATATGCTTTGTGCTCTTTCAAAACCTTTGCAGCAGCTTGCACGCAGATATGCTTAACAAACACGTTTTGACGAAGAAAAGGAATCAATAAGTGAAATTAGCAAAATATATCGTTTCAACTCTCAGAATTTAAGATATCTGCTGACACTGGTGATAATTGTTGTTTATTTATAGACAAATCAGTTCTAATAATCAAATATCTGTTAGAAAATTCATCGGAAAAAGAAATTGTTTTTTTACAGATTTAATAAACAAAAAGAATTTTAGTCATCCTTTCAGTTCTCTAAATTTAGGTGTCATTATAATTTCAGAACTATCAATAAATTTAGAATCTACATCAGTGGAATCTGTTAACTGTATATATATGCTAGTGGCATATAGGGATTATTATGTTTGTTATCCATTATGTTTTTAATCAGGTGTACTAACAGAGTTTCCCTCACCTAGAAAATTTTAGACTGCCATGGAAAATACAAAATATATTCAGAAAGTCAGGGAGGAATTTTCCCAGAATGTCAGGAAGGTTGAGTTCGTATAAGACAAGCTTTTTAATGTTGATAATTAACTACATATAAAGTAAGATTGCTTCAATTCAGTCTCAGAACATTTACGGATTTATTTCATTACATTCACAGAAAATGGCATTTAGCGTTGTACATTTGCTAATGACCGATGAAGTGGCTGTCGTCCAAGCAAATGAGTGTCAGATGATAAAAAGGGACATGTAACTGGCCTTCGTATAAAGAAAGAAGTCACATGAAAAGAGCAATTCTGGAACACAGAGAACCAGATACATCCTGAGAGAATTTTTATATTGTTATCCTGGGAGAATATTGTAAGTATTCTACAAATGATTTTTACGTCTGTTTTTCCCATATTAATTTAATTGGTAGGAAGTTTTTCGAGAGCATAAAATTGAAATAATTTGTTTTCTGAATTGAAACATTGAAATTTTAAAAAAATGTTTTGATGCGTAGGAAAATGTATTAAGCATACTTTAATTTTTCTAAACAAATATTATTTATCCTTATTCTCTCTAATTAATTGTGCTCATATTATATCAGCTTATGTTTTAATAGTTTCGCTCCGAAATAAATCATATCTACATTCTTAATTACGGTTCATAGTAAGACTCTAATATTCAATATACTTTGCTAGTTTGTGAATTTTAATACAACCTCTTTAAAAACTTACCCATATATAAAATAATGGATGCTCAAAGGAAGACTGAACGAGAGATTTTAGCCTGCGGATCCATATAAATGTCAAATTCAATTCCATTGAGTGAAGTCATGAATCAGGCTCCAGAATGTTAACACTGTGTTTAAATTTAATTAAAAAACGCCTATCTATATATTTTATTTACAAATCTGAATAAAAATATAATTTTCAATAATAAGATTTGAGTTTTCTATAAGAAATGTTAAAGTGATTAACGATTCTAAACAATAAATATGCTGTTGAGTTGAAAGATGAGACTGTATCTAATGAAAAATGTATGCATTTTTGTAGCTAATTATGCTACAGTTGAATTTAAGTCCAAAAACGGCTTTAAAGACATTGAATTTTAGATTCAGGTTCAGACTTTGAAACACCAAAACAGAAGCGAAAGAGGCCATTAACATTCTGATATCATGTATCAGAATGTTAATTCTTCGGATGATAAATTAAATACAAAAAGAAACAAAACAGAATTACCTCCTCCTACTAAATTAAATTATAGCTAAATAAAAAGAAATCCCTTTTAATTTTTCCTCATGCGGTAGTAAATTAAATTTTACTACACTTTCTTAAGCTTCTTTACTTAGTTATATTAATTACAGTAGTAGAAGATGTTTTTAATCATTTATTTCAGTTTTTATTTTTTTTATAATTAAATCGAAATTATATGTTTAATTCCATTATAATAATTTTGCTTGCTGATTATTTTTTCCTTTATCAAAGTTAAATTTTATTTTGAAATTTTGCATTTTAACAATTTCACATTATGAACGTTTGTCTATTATAAGATTTTTGAATTCTACATTTTTCTTTTTCTTGGTGGCTTGTGCTTTATGTCACTGTACTTTTTCAAGTTCTTTTTATAAAAAGTTTGTACTTTAGTAGTACTTTTATAGTACATTTTATATAAAAAGTTTCTAACTTTCAAATTAACAAAATTTGCTCTTTTCAAAAAAGTGTTGACTTTTTCATATTTTTATATATTGGGTAACTAATTTTGAATCACGTCAAAAATTAACTAGCTATTTAGTCATTTACTTTTATTTTTCAAGAATGTTCATTTCAGAGACACTTAGCGCTATGTTTAATTCCTCAGCATTAACTTTGCTTATTAGCTATTTTTTCACGATCTAAATTCATTAATCTTTTTTTTTAATTTCATAAGTTTACTAAGTCCATATTTTCAAAATTTGGCCAGCTTTGCCTTCTCTGTGGTTTTGAATTCCGCATGTGTCTTTTTTTTTTTTTTTTTCATGTACATTATGTCATTCCTATTTTCCAAGTTATTAATTTTTAAAAACTTTTTAATTTAAAATTAATAAATATGCTTTCACTTATTCTTCAAAATCTTCTAAAGAAGGCGCGTTAAAAAATACTTCAAAAGGCGAGTCTAGTCTATTTTGTCATTTATGTATTCGATTTTGAGTCACGTCGGAGTAAGTGATATCGTGATAAATACTGATTTCAGATACTTGCAGTTTTTATCATTATTTCAATTTGCCTCATCGGTTGCTAAATGTATAACACTAGCGAAGACTGGGAGTTCGTCTTGGCTTCTATTCCAGACGAACGGTTTTGTTGCGTAGTTGGTTTTCGTGGTTTTTCCATGAGTAGCATGAATACGAGCCAGTTTTCCTTTGAAATTCCTCCACGAATTCATTCCCTCCCTTAGGCAGATATCATTTGTACACTTCGTTATATTCGAGTATCCTTAAATAATCATTAAATAATTTTTAAACAGTTTTAAATTTTTTGAAAATTTTTAATTTTGAATTAAGGTTTTGGTCTTTTAATTCAAAGGACTCTTTGATTACTTGTACAATTCATCCAGATATAATTTGATTTCTCTGTTTATAATTCCATTTTCTTTCGGCTGCTCTTTGACAAAGACCGAAGATATTTTTTAATTCTTTAAATTTCATGCGAACTTTGTTTTATTTATGTATTGATTTAATTTTGCTCCAATTTTGTTTTCCATGTTTTTGATTCATTCTTTTGATTTGTGACTTATTGTTACAGAGTTCATCATTTTAGGTTTATATTAACTCCATTTGTTTGAATTCACATGTCTCTCTGTATGTATATATATATGCAAGGAAGAGGAAAGTTCAAAAGCGATTGCTTAAAAGTACATTTGGAAATTAAAATTTTAAAATCAAAAAATACCCTCACTTCCAATATTTCACTTAACATGATCTTTGAGACTAAATCGCGATTTCAAAATACATAAAAATCATATTCTAACCATATTCTAATCATATTCAAAAAAATTTCAATGATTTTTTTCAAGGATTGTATATTTTTTCTTCAAGTGAATTTAACTAAATTCAAATAGTGACATTACAGAGCGTGTTAATTTTGTATTTCAATCTCGAAAATGATTGCTTTAAACGGCGACCATTTCGAGAGCATTTTGACATAACTGACGATATATGAAATTGAAGCGCAATTTGTTGGCGACGTTTGGTGCTAAAAACAATTCTTGACCAATAATCTTCTACAAAATTAATTTTAGTAAGTGTTATAATTTGTTTGCTATTTCACTTTTAAACTTTGAAAAACCGTCAGTCATTTCTAGGATTAACCCATATTGATTTTTTACTTTATATTTATTAATTATATACATATGTATAGATTTATATATATCCGTCGATCTGTTTTTTTTATATGTGTTAACTTTTCACATATCACATCGATAAGATTAGTTTTTAGTGCATTCACATGTTTTCCAACATTGATTCTAACAGTTTTATTTCGCGTGTAGGCTGTTTTTTCACCTTTCCATGTTAATAAATTTTCCATGTTAATATTTTTTTAAAAATTACTTCCATGTTAATATTTTAAAAAATACTGCGTTGAACTATTTTATGGAGCCACAGCTCCTGGTAACTTTTTAGCAAGCTCACTAGAATATTTCTTCCTATTATTTCATATTTTTGCAGCATTTTGCGCAAAAAAAATTTTAAGACCAAATAGGTCTTACGTCAAATTACTTGTTAGCTTTTCAATTTCTATTTCAATTAATATATATGGCATTGCTTATTAAAAGTTTTTTGTGGTTAAAATTGATCAGATCTATTTTAGTAGAATCTAATGAGTAAGTATTATGTTGCGCTTCTTGTAGTTGTTCTCCATCACAGGTTTAAAATCATAAGCACTCATTAAATGAATCATGAAATAGCTTTAGCACTACTGTTATATTAATAGATGTAATTGTTGCCCCAAAATTTGGCTACTCGGCTTTCCTGAAGTCTATTGCTCTAAAAAAAGAAAAGTCTATAGTAAAATGCTTTATTCATTTATTCAATTTAAAACAAGGGTGCCAAAATTCCTAAATACATATTTGTAGGAATGAATAGAATTGCATATTAAACGTTTTTCTCACTTACACATTTCTCCATTTACGTTGACAAATTTTCATGACTAAATACTACTTCACTTTTTGTTAAGATTATTTCACGTTTAATTAGATACCTGCGCAAATTTAATACAAATAAAGCACATTTAACAACATATAATGACACAATTCTAACTAATCAATGCACTAATCTCTAATATTAAATTGAATTTACATTGTAATTTGATTTTAAATTAATTGTAAATCTCTCATATTAAATTAAATTTTAATTTGAATGAAACACTAGGATAAAAAGTTATTCTGATTACTGAAATGTATTCATATATGCAAAATGTAAATAGCAAATAACATTTCAAATCAAATTTCTCAATTTTATATTTATACTTATTATATGTATAATAAATTTTAAAAATATTTAGGGAGTCATTGTAAGATATTTTTGCTTGTGAGTCAAAGTTCTATTTAATTTCCTTAACATTCGTATTAAAATACATATATAGTGTGTACATACATACACACACATATATATATATATAAATTTATTTCCTAAACAATATTGATTAATTGATTATATTATCTCCTAAGTTTAATTAAAGTAGAATTATTTTAAAAGAGTATATATATATATGTAAAACATTTATCTTTACATGCATATATGCACATGTAGTTAAATTTTTTATCATAGTTGCACTGTATTCTGTTATATTAATATAAGCATTTCAAGGTGACAGTTTCCATGCTCCTTATTTTCGTTCGTTCGTAACATATATGTTGCCATCCCTTCAATGAAATAATTTTTTCTACTCCATGACTGTAACTCATATGAACCTTTAAGTGCGGTGCCGAAATAAAAGGAAAATAGGAAAAAACGAATCTCCAGAATCGAAAATCTTTTGCAGCACATGTTACCCTTGTTCACTAGAGAAACTAAATGGGGAAATAGCTACTTGAAAGAAACACAATTCGACATTTTTTGTTTGTAATATTTCATAATTTTATGACCATTTCATTCTTTTCAAATATTTTAACTAGACCAGCATTTCATGATTTAAATAATCCATTTTCGTTTCTTTTCTGGCAAGGAAACAAATTTCATTTTTTTATGTTTATAATGCTATCTGAGAATGCCAAAAAATGAGGTATTTGTATTGCAAACCTCAAAATCTTTAACAAAAAATTATCTGTTAAAAAATCCTTTTTCTTAATTCCATTACATTTTTAGTTCCCGTTTTCTAAATAACAGTTCAATTTGCAATTATCTAATTTTTGAAAAATTGAAATTTATCTAAAATTTTGATTTTTTTAAAATCAACTCTAACGGCGAAATCTCAAATTGAAGCATTATTCAATAGTACTATTTCAAGATAACATAATTTTACATTAAACCGACCACATAGGATGAAACAGCATCGCTTTTATTAAAGTTTGAGAAAATTTATTATTTCTTGATTATTTAGTTTAAAAAATATTTTTTTTTATTCTTTTAGGTGCTTTCAAAGAAAATCGGGCCACCAGAGAGGTACCTTGCAATATTATTGAACATATTATAAAAGACTGGTTGAAAAGTGTTTTCATTTAGAGAAAAGTATCATAAACAAAAAGGAAAATGTACAACAGAAGGAAGTTTGTAAACAATGGAATAAAAAATTTGTGTATTAGCTTGTACGAAAATACTGTAATTAAAGTTATTAATTGTTCAGTTTGTTTCCTAACTTTCATGAAGACTTGGATTGGTAGAGGATACTTAGCTTAAGCAAATATTGTATCTTATACATTGTATTACTGAATATGAAAATAATTAGTTCATTGAATTTGAATGTTTGATTCTAGAAGAGAAATTTATTACATGAATATGCAATATGGAAATTAATTTCATTACATTTCCTTTAATACTTTTAATTTTGCTTTAAAATTTTATGAAATAATATAAAACTATCAGTTTATAGATTTTGGGAATTTAATGCATTCCTAGTAGCTGAATTAAATTAAAACCTTTTGCAATAAATGCTTCAAATTTTAAATTATGACAATAATTATATTTTAACTGAAAATTGCTTGTTAAGAACCTTATCCATTGACTGGACCATCCACTGAACTAATTTTATAAATCAAATTTATGGCAAAATAATGAATTTGTGAAAGATATATGTCATTTTATTTGTTTATTAACTTTCAAAATAAAATACGCCTTCTAACTTTATAAAAAAATTACATGGACAGAAGTAATTTTAACAGAGAACTGTTTAGTACAGTTAAATTGCTTGTAAACAGAACACAAGAAAAAAATATTTATTATTTTTAAAATTTGCATACATTTAAATGCAAACTTTTAAATTTATTTTAATGACAAGAAATATCCAAGCATTCACTTTAAATTCCCATCATCCTGATGCTTTTAGTCTACTGCAATGACAAAAACTCTAGACAGCAGTAGTCTCATATAAAGTTTACAGTTATTAAACTGGCATATCAGAGCTTATTAGTGTGGCTTAGAAAGAAACAATCAGAGCTTATTAGTGTTGAAAGAAAACAATTTGTTTTTAATTTACTGCAAAAAAGTACCGAGGATTATATTTAATAAGAAATAATTATTTCGTCCAGAATATAATACAGTCTCCCATTAAAATAGTTTGGTGTATATGATCACATGAATAAGGTTTCAGAATTTTGAAAATTGCAATGATTCTGGCCATATATTAAAAATCGTGATTTGCAGTCTGATTCCTTTTCCTTCCAGTGAGAACAATAACTTAATTTCTTGGTTAATTTATTAAACTTAAAATACATTTCTATCATTAGAACTGTAACAAATCTTGTTTTTATATGTAGTTAATAAGAATGGTGTGTAAAACTTCTATGGGAATATAAGGTCTAGATAATATTGCATTGGAGGAATTGCATGTAAATGTAGAGAAAAAGTGTAAAGTTTCATTAATAAATGGCATGTATGTAATGAACTAAGAAAATAGAAAAAAAAAAAAAAAAATAGAATTTGAATTTTGATGCACATATAAAGCATAACATATATTTGTAAATGTAACATTTCAGGCTCAACTCTTCAAACAGATAATGTCTTTTCCAGAAAATTGCAGTGTTCTCTTCCGTTAAAGAAATGTAAATTATTATATGAATTCACTATTTGGAAACTAAGTTTCGCATTAGACGCAAGTATTACAAACACAAATATTTCATGTACTGTTGTCCTTCAGAGTCTGTACATATAGACCGGATTCAGAACGTTCTAGTTAGACGTAACTCAAAACGTTCTAGTTAAACGTGATTCGGAACGTTCTTTGCATGTTATACAGAAGTGTTAACAGTACAAGTATTTGACGTGGTATTGCTCGTCATAAACCTTTAATCTATAGACGACATTCAGAACGTCTGCCCAAACGTTAAGAGAACGTTCTGCTAGCACGTTATAGAAACTTTCAAAGAACGTTCTAGGAACGTTATATAAAATTATTACTAGTACCACATTTTGACGTTCTATTGTCCATTAATGAACTACATCTTACAGACGTAATTCAGAACGTTTTGCCTGAACGTTAAAGAAACGTTCTGCTAGAACGTTGAAGGAACGTTCTGTTAGAAGGTAACGGAGCTTCCATATAACGTTCAAGGGACGTTTTATAAAATTGTTAGTAACACCATTTTTTGACGTTCTACTACCCGTTATTGAACTGTAACATACTGACGTGATTCACCACGTTCTGCCTGAACGTTAAAGGAACGTTCTGTTAGAACGTTAGAAGAACATTCATAGAACGTTATAAAAAAGTGATAGTAGTACCACTTTTGACGTACTACTGTCCGTTATTGAACTGCAATACATAGACGTGGTTCAGAACGTTCAGGTAAAACGTGCCAAAAACGTTGTACTAGAACGTTAATGACACGTTGCATGAAAGTGTTACAAACACAAGTATTTGACGTGTTATTGCCCGTCTTAGAACTGTAACATGTAGACGGCATTTTGAACGTTCTGCTTGAACGTTCCCGACACGTTTGTGAAGCACTGCTCTGAAGTTCTGTGTAGATGGGGCTGCCCGTGGCTTCCCCTTAAAGCACAGGTCCTTCGAATTGTTCCCTTCTTTCATTGCGAGAATAATTAAAAACTAATTTTCTCCTACGTTTTCCCTACATTTTCTACTTTCTTTCTTGGGTTTTCGCTATTACAGGGATTTGGCTACGTGTCAAATTCTTTTTCCTCGACTATATACGGAACGACGCCGAGTTGAAATCAAGACTTGTATTCTCGGATTCCAAAACATTCTCCGAATCCATCGATACCGCTCTCATCTTCATGCGACTTGAATCGGCCGAGATATTAATTAAAAACTGCGGAAACGTTAATTACTGTGCTCATTTTTCCGAGTGGTAACAATAAACTATCGGCGACACACACTTTAGCCGCTTATATATATAAAGAATACAATAAAAATAAAATAAAATAAGTATATATTTAAAAGGGAGATCTCTTGTATAAATGTTTATGGATCTAATAAAATTAAATCCTTTAATTGATTCCAATCAATGGGAGAAGGGCAATGGCCACGGTTTCATTATAGCCTCATGTGTCCCGAGTGAGATTTTGCAAAGCAACGTGATAAATTTTCTCGATAATTGCTTCTCCACCGAATTCTTTACTAATATTTTTACTGTAGCTGCTGCAGAATTTTCCAGTATGGCCTTTGAAAGGTACAGAACTTCAACTGGCTGGATTTCATTATCGATTTGGTGTCGGTGGTTTTAAATATTTAATGGTCATACAACTAAGCATATTCTGTAACTGTATCACCCATGCGTAGCGTTGTCACATGACATAAAAAATTTGCATAAACCTCAGTGTTTACTTTCTAACTAGTAGAAACCTGACGTCATCCAACGGCCACTTCGTTTGCAATAACTCGATATTCATAACCATCACCTTTCACGAATAGCTTCTTCTTTGAGTACCGTCAAATCCCGATAAACCGCGGTTATAGTCAGAACAACGTGTGCGGTTAACTTAAAATCGTGGTTGTTCCTTCAGCAGTTAAAAAACGCAAAAAAGAAGATTAATCTTGCATTAAAATTAAATAAATAATAATTTAGCTGAGCTTTCAAGTATATCTGGCGAATGAATTGATTTTGCTGTGTAAATGAAATAAATATTCATAACCAAAACAACATGCTATGAATAAAGAAAAAATAAAAGTCATTAGAAATGAATAAACTAAACTTCGATAGGTACAGGACATTATTTGCAGAACTTGAAGAATATCATTGATTTCGAACTCACATACAAATAATATCGCTGAATTCAAAGTCGCCATTTTTTTCTTCTTGCAGAGTATATTTGGCAGACATCATCCCATATGTTTTTCCTTTCTTTTTTATATTTTAGGTTGATAGTTTTGTTTTATGCTGATGGTTTGAGAGGATAATTTTGCTATCGTTCAGCGATAAATAAACTTAATGTTTTTTAAACAAGATCCGGTTAATATTTAGCGCTATTAATCAAAACAGTGACTGTATTTTCCATTCCTATATTTTCCTTCCTCTCTAGGGAAGAATTTAATAGTTTTAGGGGGAAATGCGGTCAGGGTTTTACTTAACCATTAAACATTTAATTCGAGTTTGTGAATATAAAAAACTAGTTTTATTGAAGTTTTGAAATTTCCGCACATTTTTTATACTTTTTGTTGTTTAATTTATAAAGCATGTTAGAAAATAATTTAAATGTAAATAAATATGTATGTGTATTTTTCAAGTTTTGGAAAAGGGGGGATGTTCTTCTAGCTATAGGGACATTGCGTACAAAAATCATCCGTGATTTTGCGGCGATACAAATCCAAAGCCACTTTCGGAAAGAAATGTTGGCATGGTTGTGGCTGCCATAGCCTAGGAAAACGAAAAGCATTCACCAGCTCTCAGCTATGGACCTGACCCTCTCAGGTAAGGAAGATTAGAAATAACCTAAATGCTAAACAGATCCTATAAATGCGAAAGATGAAATACATGCGGAATGTGCTTTTATTATTAAAAATATGTTCATGTTTGCTAGTAGTATTATTTGTATAATTGTTTCCCACTATCCTCGATTGAAGAGTGTGTGTGATTATAGCAAAGCTTCGAGGGCATCTGCCTAAGGGCTCTCTTTCAAGCATTTCTTATTAGATTTTGCAGAAAAATACTACAATTTCACATATAATTTCACTAAAATTATTTTCTTATATACAAAATTCCTCACAATATTTTCAATTTCTGTAAATATGCAAGCCCATTTGAATGTACTTTTTTTTTAAAGTATAATCTTATGTATAACGCATTTGTGTTCATTCTTCTGCAAAATAATCTTTTGATTCTAAGTAAATATTAGAATTATAGAAAAGAGCTCAACTAGAAACTGATATATATGCATAAACTCTGCTAGTAATTTTTAGCGACGATTGGCGAGTTTTTGCCGATTTGGCATCTTTTTCTGAAATTTCTGGAAAATAGAGCATTTCGACGTTTCCAGAAGAAAGGATAACGCTATATTAATATGTCTTCAGCAACTAGTTTTATTTCTTAGTTACTTCAAAGTTAATACAGAGACTAGTGCGGCTGAAAGAATTACCTGAGTGAATTGTGAATTAGACTTGAATGCTTTCTGTGTGAGTGACATTAGTAATCTGTGATACTTCTCGTGTGTTAAGGATAATTTGCTTTATTTCTCTGTGCTCGTTAATTGTTTTATTTTGCTGTGTGCTATTATTAAGTGTAATAAATTATCAATTTCCTCCTGTTCATCAGGCGCAATTATTGAAGAGATGTCCATATCTCGTAAACCTGGATCTGCACGAGAAAGATGCTCAAGGTTGCTCAAGTGTAAAATGGATAAAACAAACATTGATGTAAATGAAAAACTTCAATTAAAAGTATGCCGCTGTCAGTTTAAAAGGTATTTCTCCCTCCTTCTTAGCATGCCTTCGTGGTGTAATGGTCAGCAAGCTCGACTCATATTCGAGAGGTTCGTTGTTCGATTCCCGGCGAGGGCATTGTTCATTTTTCAAGTCTCCTTATTTCAAAAAATCTTAAAGTCTCTACAGTGCCGGCCAAACTAAAAAAGGTGGTGGGTGATGATTCTTCTCCGATTGGGTTCCCTAATCCCCAGTCTTCCTTTGAAAGGGGGAGTATGTAAGGTATTTCTCCTTCCTTCGTAGTGTAGTGGTCAGCACACTCGGCGCGTATTCGAGAAGTCCAGGTTCGAGTCACGGTGAGGGCACTGTTCATTTTTCATGTTTTTCGCATAAAAAAAAAACCTGTTCAATTAACAGTTTGAGAAAACTTTTGTTGAAATGGATTTTATTTTAGTTTTCAAAACCGCAAAATTCAGAATCTTTATAGACTCTATCTCTTGTTCAATGTAATTTTTGTTTCGCAAAGTAATTAGTATTTCACATGCGTGTTTCTTTTACTTTCCGGTATTTATCAGTATCGAGCACTTTTCCTTCAAACTTCTATCGCTAAAGAAGCCATCTTCTAAACTCATTTATAAATTACTAAAACTCTAGATTTTCTAATGAATCAAACAAGCGAACGCTTGAAAAAAGATAAATTGCGTGGAAATGAGAATGACAGAATTAAAAAATAGAGTATAAATCCAATTTTAAAGCTGCATGTACAACATTTTGAGTCTTGGTGACAAGATTAAACGAAATTAAATAATAAATAAATGAGTGATTGAAAGAAAGTGAAATAATAATTTTATTATTTTATTTTGCAGCAAGCAGTAAAGGTAACAAAATAAGTCGACTTATAGGGTTACACTTGATCTGGTAATGTTATTTTAGTCTAGTAACTCTAACAGAAATGAAGTAAATTATCGCTGTGTCTGAGAAAATCTAACTGATCAACTGAAGGTGTATTTTTTTTTAATTTTAGCAAACGAAAATTTGACAATATGGGTGATGGCCCAATAATTATGAAAAATGGAATAATATTGTGAACTGCCGAAGATTTTTGGAATTTTTCATTTGTTTTCAGTAAAAGTTCTAATCCTTTTGCCTATGAACATGTAATTTTTCTAATTTCGCCAAAATCAGGTTTTAATTTAATTTAATTTAATTTAAAGACTATTTAAAATTATATAAAAACAACTAAAAGGAAATTCTATTTTTAAGTGAAAATGTACATATACCCCGGCACGTGGAAGGGAAAGAAAATGAAATTAAAATAAGCGCTTGTGACTGTAAGAACTCTCAAGGAGTAAGCTTTGTAATTTTTTCTTAACATCGTTTCATTTTCCTGATGTCAAAACTGAAGTTCTTTTTCTATAAAAGAGAAAGGGTGGTACGCCTTGTCAGTTCGACATGATTTATTTTCTATTTGCCCTACCTGCTTTAACCTGCTCAGCGAAAATTTTCCTCACCGTTGTAAATATCGGTCATTAGCGAAACAAAAATTTTCTTTCATGTTAAATGTGAAGATCAAATGTCGACTAGAAAGAAGATTTATTTTCCGGTGTTCGAAATTTGTACATATATATTTAGACAGATACGATACATGCATATTTCGAAGAAATGTATTGTTTAATTGGAAGTGAAATATGCCAACCTAAAATATACAATTAAGCAAAAACAATTCATCCAAGATAAACGATCTCTAAGGCTTTATCGTATATAGCCACTCTAGCAACCGACCACTTCATACGAGCCTTCCCCAGCAAAAAAAAAAAAAAAAACTTGAAAGGGCGTTTTTTTAACTTTTTGTGTGTTACCTTTATTTATGTTATCATGTTCTTCGCACTTGAACCATAAAATTAAGTTCAATAGCAATATCGCAAAATAATTTAAAAATGAACATATCTTTAGAATTTCCGATACACAGTTTGGCACGCTGAAGATAAAAAGGTTCTCCCCCCGCAGAGATTTTCCGTTGCTCGCTTTTAAATCGTTGAGTTTGTTAATCAACGTTCGTTAAAGTTTTACAAAATATGAAACAGATGATAAAACAAATTCCAAATTCCAGATTTGGGCTTTCAGATGCCCATATTCGAGTGGAAACGTAGATTATTCAAAATTGGATGGCTCTAGCTACCGTTGTTTTATCACAATGCGAGAAACATACATACGTTTATGCAGATTCTTCATTATTTAATTTCTTTAAATATAATATAGGACGATATTTGGTGGCAACAATTTGAAAAGTGAATCGGACATTTGTAGTCAACCAACGCAAAATGCCTAAACGAAAATAATAGTCCTTCGGGGCAAATTGCCCCTTTGACTAACAAACTTCACATTAATTTAGATATTAAGTAAATTTCTATAAATTTCCAGAAATATATGATATAGGTCCCGTTCTTCAGAAGCAAAAATGTTTTCAAAGTTGGGAAAAGAATGCACAATTTTTCAAGCATAGCTTCTGTGTATTTATCCTCTCATCAGGTAGATCAAAGACAATGGGACACCATCCTCTAGGTACCTTATGTGTTCTGATTCTCTTTCTTCTCTTCATCTTTTGAACAGAATTACCAGCAACGACAAATTAGTAATAAAAACTCTATCAGCTGTTAGTTCGCTTAGAAAGGAAATGGTGTCCGTTTTGCTTACGTGCGTGGTCATCATGGATTCTGTGGAAATGAAAGAGCTGGTTTCTTTGCTAAAGATACTTTAAATTTAACCCTCTAGATCAGGGGTCTCCAAACTTTCCAGCCTTAGGGCCATACTGATTACTCCAGTAAGTTCCGAGGGCCAAAACCATATTATCATTGTTGCCGGTGGTAAAAAGTGAAATAGTCCACTGATGAATAAAAAAGTCCGAAAAAGTACGCAACGTTTAAAAAAGGCTGCAAATCGGACTAAAGTCCGCAAAACGGCAGCACTGCATATTATTAATTTTCCTGTCATTATCTGTAATTTCTAGATTAGTCGTAGAGTACGAGCCATGAGGAGTAACGTGACACGACATCTGGTGGACACAAGCGGAAATAGGTAGTACCTTCCATCACTAACAGATGGCGCTAATAGCACGTACAGAAGTCAGTTCCTATGACACTGTTGTGGAATAAAATAGTGCATACCTCCTTAAAACGTGTTTAAGTTTAAGACATCTTTGTAACAGTATTTTGATTTGAATTGTTGCTTTTGTGTGTGATTTAGTAGTATGGAAAAGAAGCGAAAAATTGATAGTGAATGCAGAAAATTCAAAGATCAGTGGAACATTCAGTATTTCGTAATTGAGTCCAGTAACAAGGCGCTATGTTTGATTTGCAATGAAAGCATAGCCGTTCTCAAAGAACATCATTATGAAACAAAACATTTTCGAATGTTACATTTTCGAATGTTTCATAATGAATGTGAAACAAAACATTTTCGAAATTACTCAAAATATACAGGGAGTTTGCGGACAGAAAAATTCGAAGCTATGAAACGCGGATTGAAATCGCAGCAATCTTCATTTACAAAACTCAAAACTGAACAAGAGGCTGCAACTTGTGCCAGCTTTCGTGTGGCTCTTGAAATTGCAAAACGTGGAAAACCATTCACCGATGGAGAAATGATCAAAGAATGCATAATTGCAGTAGCCGAAGAAATATGCCCTGAAAAGGTAAATTTATTAAAAACTGTCAGTATGTCAGCAAACACTGTGGCTCGAAGGGTAGAAAACATTGCTGAAAATATATCCTCTCAACTGTTCGACAAAAATGGACATGTTGAGTGGTTTCCTTGGCCTTGGATGAGTCAACGGATGTGTCAGATACTGCTCAGGTGTTGATTTATATTCGAGGAGTAGATAAAAGCTATGAAGTGCATGAAGAACTTCTTGATATGTATAGTATTCATGGCACAACTACTGGTACAGATATTTTTAAAGGAGTTGAAATGGCCATTAATCAAAAGAACCTTCGATGGAAAAAACTTGAAATGTATTACAACTGATGGAGGCAAAAACATGAGTGGGAAAGATAAAGGAGTGGTCGCTCTTGTGTCAAAGGCTGTAGAAAATGATGGTGGTTCAAAACCATTAGTCTTACATTGTATCATTCATCAACAGTCCTTGTGCGGAAAATGTTTGGATATGTCTGAAGTTCTGAAACCAGTCATATCAACTGTTAATTTAATAGATCTTTTGGGCTGAATCACCGACAATTCCGACAATTTATTGAAGAGATTGGAGAAAATTACTTACCTTATCATACTGCCGTACGTTGGCTTAGTTGTGGGAAAGTTCTTCAGCGCTTTTTTTAATTTCGAGCAGTGATCGAAATTTTTTTGAATGAAAAGCATCGCCCTCTTACTGAATTACAAAACAACGCATGGCTGTGGAAGTTAGCATTCTATGTTGATTTGACAAAACATGTGAACGAACTGAATTTGAGATTGCAAGGAGAAAACCAGCATCTTCCTGATTTATACACTAATATCAAATCATTCCAGAAGAAATTGATACTGTTTCAATCACAACTACGAAGTAAATGTTTTTCACATTTTAAAACATGTGAAATATTCAGCTACACCACTGAGACTGAGTTTCCTATTGATTTTGCAATCGAAACTTTGAGTGCTTTGAAAATAAATTTTGATACTCGTTTCTCGGACTTTGATGCCATTGCGAATCAAATTAAGATTTTTCAGAATCCTTTTGATACTGACATTGAAACCCTAGCCCCGGAACTTCAAATGGAAATGATTGATCTACAGTGCATTGATATAATTAAGAACAAATATCAAAACTCATCTTTGTTGGAATTTTATAAGAGTCTTCCACTGACACAATTTGATAATTTGCATAAATTTGCTCGTGGGCTGTTTTCTGTTTTTGGTACTACTTATTTGTGTGAGAAGACCTTCTCCAAAATGAAGTACACAAAAAATGTTTACAGATCTAAATTAACTGATGAGCATCTTAAATCTATTTTAATAATTGGTACAAGTAAAATTAGTCCACAGCTACAAACTATTGTCAGTGGAAAATCTCAGTTACATAAATCTCATTAGCATTTCATATGTCATTATGCTTGTTATAAGTTATGTTTTTATTTAAAATGTATAAA